TATATATATATATATATATTATATATATATATATATATATATCCACACACACACACACAAACAAGCACAAACACACACACACACACACAAACACAAACATAAACGCAAACACACACACACACATATATATATAAGTATTTATATATGCACATATATTCATATACATACATATATATATATATATATATATATATATATATATATATATATATATATATATATATATATATATATATATATATATAGTATATTATACACACACACACACACACACACACACACACACACACACACACACACATATATATATATATATATATATATATATATATATATATATATATATATATATATATATATATATATATATATATATATATATATACACATATATATGTATTTATACATATATATATATATATATATATATATATATATATATATATATATATATATATATATATATATATATATATATATATATATATATATATATATATGGGTGGGTGTTTCATGCGCAGGGTGGTGTGAAGCGATGGTGTGGTAGTCTAGATAGTGTTAAGCGCTTGCATGCCTTCTCGCTTGCAGCTGCCACTGCTGGCTAGCTTTGTGCGAAAAAGGGAGCAGCGCTGCATGTCTCCCTTGCCAGTGCATAGCCTCTCCATCATCGAGACTTCTGCAGTGCCTCCTCGTGGCCACCTATGGAAACTGGCACCTTGCGGTCCCAGGCTGAACTGTAGGGGATCTCGGAGCAGCAGGAGGCCCCAGAGGTACAAGGTTATGGCCCACCGGCGTGTGGACACGCCCTGGCCCTGTACTTACTCCTGCCCCTAAGCCCCCTGGGGTCAATGGGAGGCTCGGGGGAGGTGGGCCTTGCCAGTCCTCCTCCCCCCAGAGAATAACCCACTGGCAGTGCTTGCTATAAACGGGAATCCTGGGAGCAGGGAAAACGTCCCTCCTATCCAGCGAGAGAGGCAGGCTGCTGGGGTGCAGGATGGGAGCAGGAGCTTGTGGGGCAAAGCCCTAGGGAACCCCACAGGTGGATGAAGGGTCCTGCAGCCTGCCGCCTTTTATGTAGGGCAGTGTCGGCGGGGGTGGCAGAGGTGGCGTCCACCCGGAGCGACTGTCCGAGGGTTAACCTCAGGCGGGAAGTCAGGGGGCTTGGAACGTCTGCTCTTTGCGTCAGGATGAACAATTGCCCTTACTATCGAGGGAACTGGGGAGGCTATTGCTCTCTCGGAGGTGAGAAGACCTGGCAGTGGCACGATCAGTGTAGGTGGCTACACCTATTACTGGTTGGGCCGCAGCGATGGTCACAATCTTCAGGGAGTAGTCATAGCTGTCTCTGGTAGGCTCCAGCCCTCGGAGGGCACTCCAGTTGATGAGTGTATAATGGTAATGAGACTGAAGCTGTCTTTTGACTTCATGTCTCTTATTGCTGTGTACGCTCCTGCCGATGTTTGTAAACTTAATGTGAAAGAGATGTTCTACGCCAAACTTGCGTCTGTGGCAGACAGTTGTCCCCGGCAAGATATTCGTATTGTTCTGGGTGACTTCAACGCGGTATCTGGCTGTGATTGAGCTGGCGGGATTTCGCAAGATCCCAGAAATTGAGAATTTCTGGCTCCTGGTACCAGCGCCCAGACCCGCATTGTTGGATATGATACAGCGATGCGGGTAATGCAACCAAGGAGATGGACCACATTCTCGTTAGCACTCGTTGGAGGATCCTCCAGAACTGCAGGGTGTATAGGAGTGCCGAGTTCTGTGGTATTGACCATAGATTGGTTGTGGCTACCCTCCGGGTTCACTTTAAAACTCCCCAGCGGCCCAATGACCACCTAAGGGTGTTTCATCTGGACAGGCTGAAGGAGAGGGAGTGTGCTTGGAGGTTTGCTGAGACAATCTCTGATCGGTTCACAGCGCTTGACAATCTGACGGACTCTGTTCCTCTGTGGGACACCTTAAAGCGCAAAACGCTTGATGCAGCCCAAGAATCAATTGGAGAACGCCCGAGAACAAGACAGAATTTAATCTCTCAGGAGACACTGGAACCACAGATGCTTGATGTGCGGCTCGTCTGGCAGGGGATCGGGATTTGCACCGTTCTCAGGTGTGCAGAACTCGGTCTCTGTTAAGAAGGGACAAGGAACAGTTTATTAGGAGTCTTGCTAAGGAGGTCGAAGGCCATTTCTTAGTAAATGACCTTCGTCCTGCATACTAAGCCTTAAGAAAACTGAATTCCAAGCCCTCTTCACAGGTGACTGCAATTTGCTTAGTAGGTGGACAGATCGTCTCAAATCCTGTTGCGGTGCGGGAACGTTGGGCTGAGTGTTTTGAGCAGTTGTATCAGGTTGACCCTCCAACAGTTAACTTGGATGTGGGTAGTGCCGCGATTCCGCTGCCGGACCCACCCAATAGCGAGGACCCACCCTCCCTATCAGAAGTTAGGGAGGCGATCTCCAAGCTGAAGACTAGTAAAGCAGCAGGTATTTGCGGCATCCCAGCTGAACTGTTAAAGGCTGGTGGTGAACCTATGGCGCGGGGATTATTGTCCTGGCTGCCATCTGGCAGTCCAGTACCGTTCCCCCTGACATGTTGAGGGGTGTGGTCATCCCTCTCTGGAAGGGGAAGGGGGACCGATAGGACTGCAGCAATCATCACGGCATAACACTGCTCAGTGTACCAGGCAAGGTTCTTGCCTGCATCCTTCTGAGGCGTATTAGAGACCATCTACTAAGGCATCAGAGGCCAGAGCAATCTGGATTCACTCCTGGTAAGTCCACAATAGACCGTATCCTTGCGCTCTGAGTCATTGTAGAGCGCCGTCGTGAGTTCAGACATGGGCTGCTTGCAGCCTACATCGACCTCAAGAAGGCGTTAGATACAGTGCATTGGGAATCAGAATCGATCAGAATCAAATAATTTATTTAGCCAAATACAATACATCAACAAAAACAACATATTACACTAGTGGTATGGCTGAGCCCTCCAGGAGTGAAACTCCCTTAGGAAGGCCCCTTGAATTATTAAACATTAAAAACTAGGAAGATAAATCAGGACATAATGTATTTAAATAAGTAAACTAATTATATAATACTGAATGACATTATACATAATGATATTAAAGGAAATTACAGGCAGAATAGCATAAGACATACATTATATGTATAATATAAATATAAATACACATACACACGCATACCTACATAGACATACACATATACATACTCATATATAAACATGAACATATACATACAAATATACATATACATACCTCCACACACAGACATACACAAATATATACATAATTACACAAATAATTACAGTATGGGAGAAAATACAAAGATGCAAGGGCAAATAATAGAAAAATATAATATAAATGAAGTACAGTTAAATATTATATGATATACCGTGACAACAAAAAACATTTCAGTGATCGTTTAAAAGTTGACAAAGTAGCACAGCTACGTACATCATCAGGAAGAGCATTCCAGAGAGTTGGTCCATGATATAGTATACATGATTTAGATTGATCAGACTGCATGAATGGAACATCTAGCATATCATTACCTCTTAGGGGATATCTGTCGTTAGTTCTGTGGTGAAACATGTCATTGCTTTGGGAATTTAGGCTTTTAAAAACAAAGAGTGCACAGCAGTAAGTATTAATTTCCTTGATTTTTAGAATTCTGAGATTTAGGAAGGCTTCGTGAGTGTGATCATTTCTTCTAAGACCTAAGATGCTACGCACAATTCTTTTTGAGTTATATGTAAAGGTTTAAGTGAGGTAGAGCATGTAGCTCCCCAAATAGTTTGCCCATAAATAAAATGTGGGTAAACCAATGTGTAATATAATTGCTGTAAGGCTTTCAAGGGTAATGTTTTGCGCAATTGATGAAGAAGTCCACAAAGTTTATTTAGTTTAGAGACTACATTGCCTATGTGAGTTTTCCAATTTAATTGAGAATCAATGTGAATCCCAAGGAACTTAGTATGAAAAACCCTTTTGATTGGGACATTTGCGACATTGACATGAGGTATAACAGGAGGCATGTCTTTATTCCTATGAAAAATTATATAATGTGTCTTGTCGACATTCAGGGTAAGCCTATTTAGAGTCATCCATCTTCTTATACTTATCATTTCACTGTTTGTGGAGTTGATCAAATCTATATGGAGTGCCCGAAGCGTAACAGCAAGTATCATCAGCATAGAGAGTGAAGCTCAGACAGCTCGCATTGACAATATCATTGATGTAAAGAAGAAACAGAATGGGTCCCAAGATGGAGCCCTGTGGGACTCCATGAGCGATAGTTCTTTTAGAGGAGTTGCAGTCATTGAAAACTACATACTGTGTGCGGTTTGACAGATACGAAGCGAACCAAGCATGTACACTCCCTTTTATACCATAATGGTATAATTTTTCCAAAAGAATTCGATGGTTAACCGTATCGAATGCTTTGGAAAGGTCTAAAAATATAGCAAGAGTAAATTTACGACCATCAAAAGATTTTAAAGTTTCATTTGTGAAGTCTGAAACCGCTAATTCAGATGATTTGTTCTTCAAGAAACCATACTGACAATTGTTGATTATATCATTTGCATAAAGAAATCAGTTAATCTAATGGACATGATTTTTTCAAAGATTTTGCTAAAAGCTGTTAGTATGGAAATTGGGCGATAATTATTAAGGCAAGGGGTGCCAGTCTTGAACATGGGATGAACTTTGGCAATCTTAAGTTTCGTGGGAAATACTCCCATGCTAAATGATTTAGTGATTACATGTTTCAGGGGCTTGAGAATGCAAGGAAGTATTTTCTTAATAATGTTGATGGGAATGCAGTCGTCCCCTGGAGAGGAAGTTTTAAGGCCATTAACAACATTGATGATGTCTCTGTCTGTTATCGGAGTCAGGCTCATGTGGTTGTTGTTGGAGGGCCCGAGAAATTCTTTAAAGTCTCCATCCACACTAGGGGTTAATCGTGACAGATTTTCGCCTATGTTTTAAAATATTTGTTAAATTCATTTGTAATGACGTTTGGGTCATTGATTTCTTTCTCATCTATTAGTACTTTGTCAGCTTTTTGTTTATTATTCCTGTGAAGAACATCATTAAGAATTTGCCATGTCTTCTTAGTGTCACCTGCACTTTGATCAAGCTTCATTTTGTAATGATCTGCCTTTGCCTTCCGAATTGTTAGTTTTAAGCGGTTGCGAAGAGACCGAAATGTCTCGCCGTAGGAGAGTGGCCACTTTGCATATTTCTTTTGAAGTTTGTTTTTTTCTTTGATTAAATTTCTTATTTCACATGTAATGTATGGTTTCTTAAAGGACTTTGATTTTAGTGACTTACATTTTAATGGGAAAAATCTTTCAAAGGAGGGGATAAAAAGACTAATGAAATTTTCATAGGCAACCTCGGGATTGTGAGAGGCAAACACGAGGTCCCAACATACTTCTGTAAGGTGGCTTTTAAAATTGGTTATATTGGATTCTTTATAGTCGCGATAGTAAAGTGTTTTCTCAGTTTTAGGTTCATTATGTTGTAATTCTAGGTTAAAAGTACTAAAAACAGGAAAATGATCTGATATGTTGCAGTATATAACCCCACTTGCTTTCAATTTTGGTAAAAAATTTGTCCAGATATGATCTATTAAGGAGGCAGAGTTTCCTTGAACTCTAGTAGGCTTGGTGACTGCTGAGAAGAAGAGCCTAGAATTAAGGGTGGAGACGGTTTCCCTGACTTTGTTATCAGAGTCGGCCTTGAGGAGGTCTAGGTTAAAATCCCCACTGATGAGACACTTCTTGTTTTCTTGAGAGGCAGTCTCGATTATTAGCTGAATCTTTTCCAGAAAAAGAGAGAAGTTACTTTTTGGGCGCCTATACAATTGCCCAATCAGTAAGCTCTCGTTGTTAATTGTTACTTCAGTAAAAACTGACTCAATGAAATCTTCTTGGAAAGATAGGTCAGCTCTACCATGAGAGGAAAATCTGTCATGAACATAGAGGGCAACGCCCCCGCTGTTTCTAGAGTGGTGCGAGAAGTATGCATGGTAGTCGGGGAGTGTGAAGAGGTGTTGAATGTCTTGAGTGAGTCTAGTTTCAGAGAAACCTATCACATCAAAACTATTCGGATGTAGACATTGCAAAGTAAATTCATCAAAATGATTGGGTAGGCTACATATGTTATGGCTGATAATAGACAAGTGAGTCATAGATGCACTGTTAGAAGTAATAGAATCAGGAAAGACGTAAGAACAATTTGGATTTATCACGTTAAGCAAATTAGATACGAAATTATCTGCTCCTAGAGAATCAAAAGAATGAAAACGGTCATCAGAGGCGTCGATTTTAACGTTATGAAATGATCTTGATTCTAGTACTTCTAAGCTAATAACCTGGGCGACATTATCGGAAGTGAATACATTCGATAAAGCATCATCATTCAGATCTTGGAAAGGAAAAGTGAATGCACAATCCATATTGAATTAATAAAATGTGTTAGGTACGTGGTACAGATTTGTAAATTACCAGAACGGCATCACTTCTTATTTCTCAGACGCTGGCTGACGGGACTAATAGGGGTGGGGGGCCTCGAGTAGAGTGTCGTGCGGGTGGCGGGGTGTTAAAGCAAGGACCCGAAGGGCGCTGCATCAGGGGTGACGGCTGGTCAGACAGCGAGGCGGGGCGAGGACGGGACTGCAGCGGAGTGGGCAGCCGTAGTGGGTCGAAGGCAGTGCCTGGAGGCGGCATGGGGAGGGCTGAGTCAGGAGGGGCGCGAGGACGCTGGCGCTCGGTTACAACCAGCTTCCTGTAGCTGAAGAAGGCGTTCTTGCCCTCGCTCCTCGCCTGCCTCAGCTGCTCCAGCTGATCCTTCCGGGCCTTGATGGTGCCTGCGCAGAAGTCTTCGTTCACGAACACCCTGCCAGGAGCATTCTTAAACTTGGCTTTATCCTTGAACACTGCCTCGCGATCCACGAAACTCGCGAATTTGGCCACGATGTCTCTGGGCCTATCGTGAGTTGGGCGCCCCACACGGTGGGCGCGTTCGATCTTGGGCGTGATGTGGAGGTGTTGTCGCAGCAGGTCTGATAGTTTCCGCTGGCACATCTCCCAGGTCTCGCCGCGCTCCTCCGGGATGCCCGAGAATCGTAGGTTATTGCGACGTCCCTGGTCGTCCTGGTAGTCCAGCCGCTCCGTCATTCTCGCCAGGTCGCTCTTCAAGTCGGCGTTCTCCCTCGACAGGGCACTCAAGCGGTCTTTCAGTTCCTCGGCACGCGCCTTGCAGCCTCCTCCCGTGCCTTGAGATCCTCGATTTCTTTGTGGGCGAACTCCAGACTTCGAATTGCCTCGCCCCAAGCGAGAGCTGAGGTTCTCGTTCTGGAGAGACATCTCGCGCTGGATTCGCTCCAGGGCTTCGCCCAGTAGCTTGCTCTGTAGGTCGATCAGACCGTTCACTTCTGCGCGGGTCAGGGACGGCGAATTGATGGGAGAAGGTCGACTGGGTGGCATCGTGCAGCAGAGCTCGTATCACCTGGTTCACAGGTGAAGTTTGTTGACACTGGATAGAGCAGTAGGTGGCGCGGCAGGAGGCGCAGCAGAAGGAGCAGAGGGTAGTGCAGCAGAGAGGAAAGGCAGCGAGGGCTCAGCGAAGAGGAGGCTCACAGGAGAAGTTTGTTGGCACACTCGATAGTACAGCAGCAGGGGCGGTAGGTGGCGCGGCAGGAGGCGCAGCAGAAGGGGCAGAGGGTAGCGCGGCAGAAGGGAGGCGCGCGCAGGCTCAGCGATGAGGAGCGAGCGGGTGGCCGTTGAGGTAGAGGGGCGGGGGGGTGCGGGCATCAGTTCGTTAGCGTGGTGATGGGTCGAGAGCCTGGGTAAGGTCACGTGACTTTGTTTGTGCGCATGCGCAAACCGGGCAACACGATTCGAAGGGGGGTGGGGCGGACGATTTTCAAATATCAATGCCAATTTTTTCTAAGTCCAACCAAAATTTTCTTCACGCCGCACTCATCGTGTCAGGACGATCCACTCGTAACTTCTTTACTCCAGGCCCTCGACTCGTTCTTCCGCGCCAGACCTGTGTTCTTGTGACCCCTTCAACCCCTCTCGACCAAAA